TGAATGTTACAACTTTAGGGAAAAGATATAAGGTCGTCATACTCCAATCAGTAATTACAGGAGAAATTTTGTTAATGAGAAAAGATAATAGATAATTGAAACAGGACAGACAAAAAATATAAATACAATGATTTGAATTAAGACAATTAAAATAAAAGTGAGAAAATTAAAAGAGGGGAGAAGCTATGCAGAAAATGTAAAATAGTAATAAGATATGGAATAGAATATAAAAATGAGCATGAACCGGAATTTGTGTCTGTACGAAGAAATGTAACCCGGGATTATGCTGCTTTCAAAAAAGATGTTTTATTTGTATTTTTTTTTTCTCTTTGTGAAACTCAAATAAAATTTACATAAAAAAAATGATTTGTTTAAATCATTTCTCATATAATTTGCTTAACTGCTTAAAGGTACATTGACAGGAAGGTAACTCATAGTTTCTTGTTACTCTACCCCTGCACATTTTTCCTTGCTTATCTTATACCTGTTGTTTGTAACATCTCCTTGTTTAGCCAACATTTGCAGTTACAATGGTGATTAGAATTAATTCTTGCATTTATGACCTTTTCTGGTCTGTAAAGCAAAAGGAAAGCCTGCAGTAAGATCATCGGCACATTTGCAGTTTCACTTAGCAATGGCTTCACTTAGTGATGAACTGCTGGTCCCAACTGTGGTTGCTAAATGAGTTGTATGCAGGAAAATACATGACTGTATTCTGGAGCAAAGAGAGTGTGGGCGGCAGGTTCTTTAAATTACCTCCTCTAGAACTTTGGACTGCACTGCCTGTGCCTGAGGAGGGAAATCATTCCCACGCCTGCATCTCATTCTGATTCATAAAAACATCCTCCTCTCACCCTCCTATGGCGTGTTCCTACACATCATGCTGGGTGAATCATGGTTCCAGGCTGGAATCAGCTATGCAAGCAGGAAACACCCACTTCTGGCTTTCTCCTTAAAGGCATCACCACCTTTCCTGCTTTTCATCGCTTCTGTCCTAGAGATGATGCCCCAACCTCAGAAATCCACTCCCTGCAAGCCCCTAAGCACCCCTTTGTTCTCCCATTACAGCTGGATGGTTGTTGTTGTCATTGGGATAGAAGTTAGAAAGCCTCTGTGGCAGACTGGAATTTCAGGCTGGGACAGGAATACTTAAGATAGGACTGGATTTGTGCACAAACCTAATCTCTTCACACAAACGCTTAGGGCTGATGATTATTGTGATGCAAAATCTTCTCTCAGAATTAGTGTCCTTGGGGGAGGGGAGGGGGGGGGAGCAGGGGAATGACTAGAAGTTGCTGCCAAGTACAGCTCTAGATCAGTCTTCCACATCACCATTTCTTTCAAAAAGGACAAACCATGGGTTGGTCATACTCTTTCAACACGAATTGCCAGCAAGTCCTGTTGTCACCATCGGATTAGCTCTATTGCCGGTGGGCTGGAACCTGGGGACCTGAGCCTGATGACGCAGCTGTATTTGTTTCTAAAGGTGCTAATTGCTGATCTCCAACTCAGTCCACTACTCCATAACCTGAGAAAGGATGTCCAGAGTGTTAAGCTGAGGCCTCTCTGAGCTCCATTCTCCCAAAAGCACAAAAGGAACTGACAAGGACTTTGGATAAGACGGTTCTCCAAGCACGTAATGTCTCAGCAGTGCTTTTGTTCCCTGAGGTACCATCCTAATAGGAGCTTTGGTTCACTTCATTGTTCATTGAGGCAGCCAAATGCCAAACTGGGAGTATGTTAAACTAAACTTATACATCAAGGGAGCTTATTTTTGTGTGAAAAAAATACATGCGATTTACATAGTTTAAGAAGCGTTGGGAGATTTTAGGAACTGCTGTCCTGCTAATGCCTTTTAAACAGGACAAGTAGCCCTCGACTTACAACCTCAACTGAGCCCAACATTTCTGTCGTTAAGTGAGACATTTGTGAAGTGAGTTTTGCCCCATTTTGTGACCTTTCTTGCCGCGGTTGTTAAGCAAATCACTGCAGTTGTTAAAGTCAGTAACACTCCTGTTAAGTGAATCTGGCTTTCCCATTGACTTTGCATGCCAGAAGGTCACAAAAGGTGATCACACAACCGCTGGACACTGCAAACATCATAAATATGAATCAGTTGCCAAGTGTCTGAATTCTGATCACATGACCATGGGGAATGCTGCATTGGTTGTAAGTATGAAAAATGGTCATAAGTCACCTTTTTTTCAGTGCTGTTGTAACTTTGAATGGTCACTAAGTGAACTGCTGTTAAATCAAGGACTGCGTGTATGTGATACAAGGGTATTGATCCTGGAAAGGAAATGCGTTTCCTAGAGAGAATGGGAAGATTGCTTCAAGGAAATTGATTTTCCTCTAGTTCTATAGAGCTGCAAGACAAAGTCAAAACCTATGAAAATGGTGGTCTCAAAATTGCTGCTTTGATATTTTTGGGGTCTTTCCTTTGGTTATAAATATTTAATATTCCTGAATGGTAATGCATTATAGAAAGAGAGAAGCTGGTCTTTCTCACTTTTTTTTTAAGGCTTACAGTAGATAAATCTAGAAAGAGTACAGAAAAGAGCAACCAGGATGATCAGGGGACTGGAGACTAAAACATACAACGAATGGTTACAGGAACTGGGCTTGGCTAGTCTAGTAAAGAGAAGGACCAGGGGAGACATGATAGCGGTCTTCCAATATTTGAGGGGCTGCCACAGGCAGGAAGGGGTCAAGCTATTTTCCAAAGTGTCCAAGTACAATGAATAACGGATGGAAACTGAACAAGGAGAGGTTTAACCTGGAAATAAGGAGAAACTTTCTGACAGTGAGAACAATCAACCAATGGAACAGCTTGCCCTCGGAAGTTGTGGGAGCACCGTCACTTGAGACTTTCAAGAAGAGATTGGACTGCCATTTGTCAGAAATGGTGTAGGGTCTCCCGCTTGGGCAGGGGATTGGACTAGATGACCCATAAGGTCCCTTTCAACTCTGATTATCTGTTATCTGTTAAGTGCTCATGTTTGAATGGTATAAATTCCATTCATTTCAATCATGCTTCTGCAGGCAAACTTCCTCTAGACTGGCATCTTAATAAATTAAGAGGTTGGCATTTGCCTGTAGGATCTCTGGCCAAACCAGGGCATGTCAATAGTACCTAAACTGCCTATCTGCAAGACGGATGAAAATTTTTCCATATTAAAACTTTTTTCTTTGACTCCTGAAAGAGTCACCAACTCTTTTTCACCAAGAGTTCCAGGAAATGCCAGTTTTATTTCAGCAACTTTTAAGTGAAAGAGTAAAATTAAAACAGAAATCTTCCCTCTCTCATTTAAAACATTGGTTTTTTTAAGCCCACCCTTTCTTAATATGCATTAAGTCTATTCATACTTGCTACAAGGGAGCAGTGTGGGTGAACATAAGCCTGCAGATCCAGACTATTTGTAAATGTGATATTTTCAGGAAAATATCCACTTAATTGCTCGTATGATTATATCTCAGTGTAGCTTCAAAAAGACAAGGCTAAGGAAGGAAATCGGAAACCTACTTCAGGATAGGAAGGGGAAGGGGTGGCTACTGAAAGGTGGAGAAATGCTTTGTTATTGCTTTTGAAAACATTTTCACAGCCAGAAGTGAATCCTGTCCTGGAGAACATAAATGCATTCTGTTTCAGTGAAAAATATGAAAAACAGAGAGAACAAATTTCGTAGGGATTATGATAATTTTGCAATTATTTCTCTTCAGTATCCACAAAAGCGCGTTATGCATTTTTCTGCATTTATTTAATCAATATGTATAGCCTTTGCCTTATTAAAAAAACAAAAACAAATTCAAAACTTGTTTGGCTTCCAGGCTACAAGTAGAGGAAGAAGACTTTTAAAAACATTGGTAAAAGTGTCTTGGCGAGGATGAAGAGAACATATAGTTTGGCATCTGTGATGTCATAGACATTAGCAGATAGGTACCCCAAAATATTTACATACATCTTTGAAAGCAGCCCTTGCATCCCTCTCAGAATATAAAGAGCCAGATATTTCATATTTTCATCAGAAGGATAATGAATATACCCTCTTGTACTTCTAAAGATATGACCGTCTTCAACTTCAGTCACTATGGGTAGTCCTTGACTTATGACTGCGATTGAGCCCCAAATTTCTGTTGCTAAGCAAGACAGTTAAATGAATTTTGCTCTGTTTTATGACCTTTCCTGCCATAGATATTAAGGGAATACCTACAGTTGTTAATAACATGGTTGTTAAGTGAATCTGGCTTGCCCATTGACTGTGCTTATTAGAAGGTCACAAAAAGTGATCACACGACCCCGGTACACCACAACCATCATAAATATGAGTCACTTGCCAAACATCCAAATTTTTATCCCGTGACTCTGGGGATGCTGCAACAGTCGTGTGAAAAAAGGTCATAAGTCACTTTTTTTTTCCCCCCAGTGCTGTTGTTAACTTTGAACAGTCACCAAATGAATGGTTGTAAGTCAAGGACTACCTCTAGACAGGTAACCCAGGGTTCAAGGGGTTTGGATTATGAGCCCTTGTAGTCTTGTGTGCCTCAGATTGAAGACTGGTTTAAATCGACTAAACTTGCAAACGGCCTAACTGATCCGAGCAACCAGTTGCTTCCCAGGGAAGAGCGGGTGAATGTTTTGTGCAAAGAGGAGAATGAATGGCTCCAAGATGCAGGGCCAAAATAAAACAACAACAACAACAATAATAATAGTGGGTCTGTACACAGGCAAGGGCAACTTTTAGAGAAGAGGAGAATCGTACCAAATCAGAGTCTAGGTAGCGCAAGCAGCTACCCACCCTCCCCGCTTCATGTCACTCCATCACTCAGCAGCCAATCACTCTGTCTCTCTCACACACACACACTCCTAACATAAAATCATAATACTGTGCAGGTCTTAGTGAACAAATGGATACCTCCGTGTAAGTCCAAGGCAGGTTGATTTGACCACCAGGACAATATATTCATCAGGTCTGTACCGCTTTCTTGGGTCCAATCCCACCCACCATCCTTTGCCATTGCCTGGCTGTTCCACCGTCCCTTTCCAGGTGTCCCTTTTTCACACAAACGTGGAATGTTCCTTCATGAAAGATAAAGTGGGAAGATCCTGTTTTGGAGTGCACCGCTCCAAGGAACTGGAACTGCGGAGAGGGATCATGCAACGCTCTGCCGGCTTTCCCTGCCCCATCATCCCCCAGCAACAGAGCACCCTTAGGAACTCCTTCCTCATGTCTTTGCTGCGGAGGGTATAAATGAGGGGGTTAATGGCTGAATTGAGGGTAGCAAAGGCAAAGAAATACTTTGACTGGTAAAGGATAGGGCAAGACTTCCTGGCGCATGAAGCGTCTATCAGGAGGATGGTGAAGGCAGGCAGCCAGCAGATGATGAAGGCCCCCAGGACAAAGGTAACTGTCCTGAGCAAGGCCATGGTCTGGGAGCTGGCTTTCTCAGCGTGGCTGGAGCGGACAATGCGGTAGATCCGGACGTAGAGGACCACTATGGAGAAGAGGATGACAGTGAAAATGGTAACCACGAAGACAATGTAGCTTTTAGAATAAAGGGGCAGAACAGTGGAGCATTTCTCGAGGTCCGACATGCAGTTCCAGCCAAGGATGGGTAGCCCCCCAATGGTGGCTGAGATGACCCAGCAGGCCCCAATCAGCAGCAGCATCCTGCAGTTCTTGTCACTGCTGTAGACTTTCACCTTGGTAATAGCCACGTGTCGTTCAATCGCAATGGCTAACAAGCTGAAGACTGACGCGGCCAGGGTGGTAAAAGCAGTGCCTTCTCGCACGAACCACTGTATCGGAGTGAGGCGAAAGGTGGCTGGGCCCGAGAGCACGATGTTGGCAATGAAAGCCGAGCCAGCCATGAGGTCCGAAAAAGCCAAGTTGCCAATGAAGATGAACATGGCGGAGTGGAATTTCTTGTTCCTCCAGACGGATATGAGCACCAGCAGGTTCTCCAGGATAATGAAGCAACAGAGCACAATGATGAGGATGGCAGTGGGAGTCAGTGGAGACTCCTCATCTCTCTCCAGCTTATCCTTAGTGTAGTTGTAGTGCTGGAAGATTTTGTCCTTGTTGAAGTAGTACTTGTAGACGTTTCCCATGGCTGGTTACCGAGGTGCCCACCTGGGGAGGTCTCTCTCAGAAGACATTTGGATAAGACTCCACCAGAAATGAGTTCATTTGGAATGGAGGAACTGAGGATCAACCAGGTGAAATCTGAAGACAAAGAAGACAGACAAATCAGGCTATTGCTTAAAACAGCAGATGAAAAACCAATGTAGAACAGGTGAGGGAATAGAGACATTAAGTACACTTGTGTCACTTCATCATCATGGTCATCATTTGAAGAGAGCTCCCTGTAGAATAATCCAGCCCAAAGCTCAGATTTCATCTTTGGTTTTGTTAAAGCAATATTTTGGATTAATGGAGATGTTTGAGGAAGTTGCTAGCCAGTTCCTCAGCTGAAAAAACCTGAGCCTTGCTTCCTACATTCTGGCTACTCAACGTGGAAATCTGAAAAAAAAAAAAAGCCTCATTTACATGACATTGCTTGTTTTATGGAAAATGGCTTTATGGTTGGACCAAATTAATCATGTTCGAGTATATATAATTAAGCTATTTGCTGATTTGTGCTGACAAGCTTAGGGAGGAGTGACAATTTCAGTACACTTTTGTATTTGTCTTGCCTGAAATTCAGTTTATCCTGTTTCTGCATCAGTTTGTAATTTAAAAAAAGGCACAGCCTCCCTTCCAGAAGCCTCCAAGGTTGTATTTCAGGTACCCCTTTGTGTCCCATCTACTTCATAATGGTTTGAGGGGTTTTTGGCTGGGTCATATAGTTAAGTTCATCATGCTTATAATTCCAGATACTGGCTGGGTGTTACTATACCAGCACAGGTACTTCAGTAAGCACTGCACAAAAATGGTCCAGTAACCACCGGGTATCTCTGAACTTGGCTAGATGCAAATCTCTCCTCAGAAATAATTGATCTTCCTCCACCAGCACTGGGGGAATCAGGTTCAAGGGGCTTTGCACATTTTTGTTTAAGAGGGATCAGAGAACTTGATATTTGAGAAATACAGAACAAAGCTTGAGAGATATCGAAAAATGTCAAAGTAAGACAACGTCTTCCATGAATCAACTTCAACTTCCAGTGAACAACAATATACAAGTGATTTGCTACTACTGCCTTCTGGGGATTCTTTCTTTCTTTCTTTAACTTCCCAAATGTACCATCCAGCCTTGATAGTCTCCTATTCAAGAACAAATCAGGTTCTGATATTGTGCAGCTTTTCTGAGATCAATCAAAGTCGGCTACATGCTGCCATCTGCTGTGAGAAAGTCAGGGGAATTAGAACTGTTGAACAGTAACTATCTAAATGCTTCATGCCAATTATCTCTGGAATCATCCTTGCAGTGGTGTTGCAAGGTAGGTCAGTGTTATTATTTCCACATTAGGCCACATCTATGAGAGAAAGGTGGGTTAACTAAGGTCACAGCTGTGGTGTGACTGGCAGTACAAACTTCAGTCTCTTGGAGAAGATTTGCATCTGCTGGTTAGAAGACAGAAGGAGTAGAGATGTCCTGCAATGGCAGCAAGCTGCTGTACCACCCCTTGCCTTCTCATGTGGGATTATTTATAGCAGGGGGTCTCCAATCTTGGCAACTTGAAGACTTGTGGACTTCAACTCCCAGAATTCCTCAGCCAGCAAAGCAAAGCTGGCTGAGGAATTCTGGGAGTTGAAGTCCACGAGTCTTCAAGTTGCCAAGGTTGGAGACCCCTGATTTATAGGTCAATTATGATTCCTTATTCTTGTTCAGACAGCAAGTCCTTCCATGCATAGGATGAAGTCAGAAGAGGGATCTGTTTTTCAGGCCATACCAGCTTTAAGAATATACCCTGATTACTGCCTCAATATCGGTCTGACTTTCTCATCACAAATTGTCCAGTGACCATTCCTTTCCATTCCACTCCTATGTGTTTATTCAGAACATAGCAATAATTAAAGATTCACTGGCATTTTTTGGAAAATCTATGAGGATGAAGGGCACTAGTGATCAAGCTCTAGTTAATATAATTCATGCTGAGTCAAAACACTGGAACAACCAACTCACTATTGTTGACTCTTACTGAAACAACTTCCCAGAGATCCAGATATAAGGCTTTCCACAGTCTTTCTTTTTCAGAACTCTCTATGCAGCAGAGGTCCCCAAAAACAAATTTGGAACCTTCAACATGCAAAGTACAAACTCTGCACTGAGTTATTTTCATCAAACTGTAGCATCGGAGGAGGAAAAAAAAATCTCAAACATCTGATAGCATATGTTCAAATAAGAATAACATAACAGGTGTTCCAAGAAAAGTTATTTCCTTCATTTGGCTGCTGGCTTGAAAAGCAGTCCAAAACTTGGATCCATGGCATCATTTTCAACTGTTTTTCTAATAACATAGATCCAATAAAGTCTCTTTTTTTGAAAGGAAATGATTAGGAACCAAAAATTATATCAGGCATGACTATTATCAGGCCTAGATTCTAGAGCCTTAGTATTCTGGTTAGTCAAAAGTGTGTGGAATCTCAAAGACTGTGTGATGACCCAGGGTGGGATACAAAAGCAACAAAGTCACAAAAACAGGTGAAGTCCCTTTAATTCCTTCAACTTGTCTTCAAAGGTCCAATTATCATTGACTGGAGGAAAAACTCCCCCACAAACAGTTGTGAGAAGGAAGAACCCTTCAAACTCAAAATACATATAAATTATAAATAGGAAAAAACAACACAAACCACACTGAAGCAATTAATGAGACAAGGCAGGATAAGGGCTTGAACACATCCATAGATATCAAAATACACACTGGGAAGGACGCCAAAACTCAGATAAGAACTGACAAACTAGAAATATTTTCACACTTTGCTTCCAGCACTGGCCCATGCGCAGTTTGTCCTTTTCAACAGTCTTCACAGCTGCAGCCCATGATGGGGATCAAGGCCTTTTCCTCCCCCGCAGATCACACCATTCATGTTTCTCCCTGATCCGCTCTTCCCTGCATGACCTAGGATGAAGAGGGAATGGGCCTGGGTCTTCCTCTGAATGCTCAGCCGGCCTCTGCCCCTCCCCAGCCTCCTCCACAACCTCTGTAGCCACACTCCCACTCCCTGTTGGCTACTCTTCCTCTCCCTTGGAATCAGACTTCAACAGAGGCATGACAGACTGTAAAGTTTCTGACCACTGTGCTTGGCTGACAATTTATTGCATTGGCTCAATAAGGCCCAAGGCTCAAGGAAAGATTTAGCAGAACTAAGGTTCAAATACTTAGCACTGCTGAACACAGGCCTAGCTAAAGAAGCACCACAAACATCACTGGCTTTTAAGTTCCAGTTTCCACAACTCGTGGCTTTGATCTTTTCAGTCTGCTTTTGGAGAATATACAGTAGAATGATAATGAGATTCCCACATTTAATCAAACATCTGTACAACAATTAAGGTGTGCCTTTGCTTACTTAAGGACATAATATGATTGTCAAAGAAACAAGGCAGATATTCAAGTAATAGCGTTGCCCTTTTTCCCCTCATTAAAATACATTGTCTTTCAACTTTCACTTAAGTAGTAGGTTGGGAGCCCCACCTTCCCTGAAACATAAGTTTCCAAAAGTTAGAGGCCTGAACCCCAGGCGGATTGGAGCAGTTCCTCACTCCCACGGTGTGTGTGTGTGTGTGAGTGTGTATGGAATACAAAGTGAACTTGCTTCCCTCCAACTTAAAAAACTAGGCAAGCCCTCTGCTTACTTTCCACTCCAAATTATTAATTACTTAAAAAGCAACTAGACATCAGCCCCTCCCAAGGTCTCTGGAAAGGAGGACGCCTGCTGGGATGGGCAGCACTGACTAGGGGACAAACTGGTACACAGACAAGTACTTTTAGGCAGTTCCATCTCCTAAGCAAGAACCAATGAGAATTTGGCCACGTGCACCAAATATTGACACAGCTATTATAGGAAACATTAATCACAGCTGGTAATTCATTTCCTTTCAGCTGTAGAAGCATTTACCATTCTGGATCTCTGTTCCTTCGTCTCACTAAGTTGCTGAACATTTCTGATTCATAGCAACAGGCAGTTCACTGCAGAACAAGAAGAACAACAGGAGCCAAGTTGGCCCTTAGAAATTCTTCCATCAGATATGTGGGCAGAGAAATTGGGTGGGCGAATTTTTCAAATGGCTCCAGATGGAGAGCCTCGCACAACATTCCTCAAGGGCACCAACAAAAAGAAAGCAAGTTACCTGCGGAGAGCTTTAGTTAATGTGCGGGGTGCAGCTTGATTCAGAAAACTCAGGATTCATTTCTAGTTCGGATTCCCAGCCTTTCAGCAGCAGTCAGCATTATGTTTTTCTGAGGAAATGTACAGAAAGCAGAAGAATTAGCAGATGAGTCATTCTACAGTATGTCACTTATTTCCAGCTTCTTATAGTCCAAAGCTACATTAAATTTATACTTCGCTATTAAGCCACCTCACTGTAAAACAGCATACTGCGCAACAAACTGAAACAATAAGCAGTGACTAAAGCTGCAAATTCTGACTATTTAGGATTATTGTCATTGATAGCAAATATATGAGATCCCATAACTGAGCTGCTGATTGGCATTAGTACAAAACTCCAGTTTTGCATCCTTAAATATGGCTTTTCTCCATTTTTGTATAATGCAGAGAACCGTAGCATGGTTTAGAGCAAGATTTTTCCCACAAGGAGTTCTTTAGCGTTTCATGAGAATATAATGGAGAAGAAAGTGATGGTCAATCTTTTGTCACTAGAGCTTTGTCTCTTGATTAGGGAATTTCTTTTTAATCAACAGGTTCCAAGGCATGAAGAAGTTTGGAAACTGGTTGTTCAGAGGACCAGAAAAACCTAAGGTTGAATTTATGCTTGATCCTTCCTGAAGATTACACACAATGGAAGATCTTTGCTGCCTTAGTATTCCAAGCAGTATGTCTCTCTGGTTCACAAACATTTTAGCTACATGTACCTTTCTGATTTCTACAAAACTGCTGCTGTTTTGATTTGAAAGATCTTAGCTCTCTATCATTTTAAGTCAATTTCTAGCTCATTTGACTGCAATTTGCACAGAAACATATTTGAAAATATATTACTGACACCTAAAGGCAAATGCGAAACAAGACTTTTGAACAGGTAAAATCTAATGAGCAGAACTGCAGTGTCTTCCAATATTCTTTCTTTTTAATCCATTGATAGAAAACTAGCCAAAATGAATTAGGTAAGATTGTAGAAAAAGAGGAAGCCTGAAATATTGTGCAAGATAGTTCATCTTAGTTCATTTCTGATGAAAGCCATCTCCAGATTTCTGACTTCACACATCTGTCTAAAAATATGAACATGATGTATTTCTGGCTCATGTATTTGAAAATGCAGCAAAAATAGTCTTTCTTTAAATCATTGCTACTCTATAAGGCTTGTGTAAAGCTCAGTCTCCCATTTGCAGAAACTGCTACTTCATGTTATGTATTTAGCATGTCGGGGAAGGGTGCAACATAATCATTACATCATAATATAAATAATGCAGCTTACATATTTGCATCAGGAGTCATGACATCATTATGTAATAATACCAATTAACCAATGGCATGATGGCATATCTTATTATTTTGACACTGTCATGGTTTCTGAAAGATGATATTGCTTCCCAGATTTATTTATTTTTGCATACAGTCAGACAAATCACAGCAGCATCAAAGTAAAAACATGGACCTTTGTGTGTGCCTACACAAGCAAATTGCTTTATTTCTCTTTTGCATGGTATAGCGGTGAGCAGACCTTTGTTATAGCAGTACTGAAGACAACTTGTGGGATTTCTTCTGGGTTTCCACCCCCTCTCCCCCAGTTGGGCTAAATTAGCACATTTGAAGGGAACTGTGGGTTCCTCTTCAAATTATTTTGATGTGTTTGGGGACTAGGAAGCAATGCTATATATGGGCAACATATGAAACCTTTACTTCCCACTTAAAAATCAGTACATTGCAAGAAAACACATGTGGAAGTTGAAATTGTGCAAGTTCCATTTATCTAAAAAAATGACATGAAAAGTTGCCTGAATCACTTCATTACACTACTGTGGTAATCTGTCTGTGAGGCACATATATTTGCACATTTTATCTAATACAATGTTAGGTTTTAACCCAACAAAGAAAAAAAGATTTATACTTCATGCAGCAGGATAGTGGTGCCAAATAATTATAATGAATTTACATAACTAATTCAACCATTCATGTAGGTAACTACCCAAGTTACAAACCTTCTAGAAAACTCATGCATTTTTCAGTCTATTTCTCAAAAATGTAAATCATTAGTGGTTGATAGTCTGGGACAGCAAATGGCTGATAATGCATAAAACAACAAAGTCTGCACTGATGCAAGTCTACTAAAAAAAGCAGAAAACAGAAATCACAGAGGAAGAATTTCTTAAGTGGTTAATGCCCACATTTTCATTTTTACTTGTAAAAAATTGGAATTGGAATTGGAATTGAATTGGAAATGTTTTGCTATCTCTTCTCTCAGCTTAATAATCATGCTAAGCACAGACTCATGGACAAGAGGAAAGAGAGAAAGAGTGCTTTATTTCATTGCTCCATCTGAAAAATCCTTAAAGAATGTAATTTAAGCTTTCACTCCTCTGTTATTTTACTACTAATTCAATTTCTTCTTAGGAAAATCACTGTCATTTTTTCTTTTTTAAAATAACGTTAATATTTTTACTGTATAAGATTGGTCGCTTACAAGATTTAGGAACAGTCTTCCCTAATGTCATGTCCTGAAAATGTGTTGCTCTGTAATATTCCTCATCTACAGCGAGCGAGCTGGTAAAGCCAATAACTGTGGGTTTTAAGAATTATAATCCAATCCATATGGAGGGTATTATGTTGAGGCTGATAGGCTCAATAAAGTCTGAAATAAGTAGGTTAGACAGAAAGGATAATGTTTTTCATGCTTTTCAGTTGAAAATGTCAAAAGAAATCAGTTGAGGGTCCCACTTTTACAAAACAGCTTTCTACTATCTGCTTGGATTTGTGGAATGCTTGGATTTTATTTACGTCTAACATGTCCCCACTGATGGTAGACATAGGACAAGGGTAATGAAAAAGTGACCAGCTATTTCTTTGTCTCAGTTAAAACTTAGAATGTCTATCTTAAAGCAGGAAAAAAAAAACCCCAAAAAGCATTTTATTTATTCTTTTCACACTGAAAAACAGGGACATGAAATCATCTTCATAATAGAAGAGCAAATGAGCCACAAAGGGCATGAACATTTCATCTTCTTCCCTCCACTTCAAGGGAAGGGAAAGTTTCTAGACAACTTCAAGAGGCACCCTTATCCAAGCCTCTGACTTCAAATCCAGAACAAAGCTTTGAGACAGCCTAGGGCAGGGGTGTCAAACACAAAGCCCATGGGCTGAATCCTGTAAAATGTAAGGGGCTGGCCTGTGTTGCTTTGGCCCAGTCTACCCAACGTGAAGAGGAAACTTGCCAGCAGTTTGGGGAGTGGTGTTAAGCTGACCTCGCCCACCCAGTTGGCCATGCCCAGTGAGTGGTGCCAAGCTGACCTCGCCCACCCAGTTGGCCACGCCCAGTGAGTGGTGCCAAGCTGACCTCGCCCACCCAGTTGGCCACACACCCCAGTTCCCCCCCCCCAGGTCAACCACAGCCCTGATGTAGCCTTCAATGAAATTGAGTTTGACACATCTGGCGTAGGGTGTCCTTTTACCATTGTTCAAAAGTGGCAATAGGAATGATCACAAAAGCCAGGTCAGATGTGAGCAGAGGTTTAAAGAGCCTGGATATTGAATAGGAGGCTGGGCCAAGCCTTTTGTGCTATAGAGCAAGGCAGGAAGTCCCCTCCCTCAGCTGGGAACAGTCAGCAAAGCTCTTTTCAAGAGCTCAAATACACAGCAAATTCCCCAGGTTCTTTTATACCATCACAATTTGAGCTGAAATAAACAGGTGATTGCAACCAAAGACATGCTGAACTCAGCAAAACTGTTGGGGAATACCTCTATATACTATCCCAGAGTCAAGTGGAAATTAGTATCTGTGTATATTGTTTGAGTTTGTGAATTAATAATGTGTTTTCAGCCATGATGTCAAGGACACCTACTTCTTGGTAACCCTTTTTTATAGGCTCTAAATCAGCATCCCATCATGTGCTGCATCAGGAGTTTGTTTGCTCGTGGAGGATCGGGATGGGTGTGGCCTGGCCATCGTGGCTGACTGGGTAGGTGTGACTGGTCCCCGGCAGCAGGGGCTGATCCCTTGTTGTCTCCAGGAAAGCCCTGTGGGCCATCTCCACAGCCTATCGAGGGCTGGATGCCACCCACAGGCCGCATGTTTGACACATCGGCTCTGAATAGTGTTATTTAATGTATGTTGTTGATAGCCAGCTTTAATTTGGATGACACTCTATTAAAAATGTTTTTTTGAAGAAAATATGAGATCTATTGCTCCCTACCATACTCCGATCATGTTTATCCAGGGGTGGGATTCTACCAGTTCACACCTATTCACTAGAACTGGTTGTTAACATTCTAAGCAGTTTGGAGAACCGGTTGTTAGAATAAATTACTGGCCTAATCCTGTAAGGAAGGCAGGAAGGAAACATTCTGGTGTTGCTTACAGAAACTGCCTTTCCGTCAACCCTTATTACATTCTTGGCAGGACTAGACTTCCTGTCTCAGGAACGTCTCTGGAGTCTCCCCCCCCCTCCTTTGCTGGTACTTTGCTTGTGTGGAGTGACCATTCAAAGTTACAATGGCACTGAAAAAAGTGACCTATGACCATTTTTCACACTTATGACTGTTGCAGCATCCCCACAGTCATGAGAGGCTAGGCGAGGAGATGCATGCCTCGATGTGAGTGATATTGAGTTGGCCATGTTCAGCCTATAACATGACCACCAAGCCACGTCCACCCAGTTATATGACCACTAAACCATGCCCACCACTTAAGCCATGCCCAAAGAACCGGTTGTTAAGTAATTTGAATCCCACCCCTGTGTTTATCTTTTGGAAGAAGATAACTTGGAAGAAGTTATCTTGCATTAATCCCAATCTTGTGCCTAAGTCCCACTGAAATTGATGGACATTACATGCAAAGTGTTACCTATAGAAGAGAATATTTGTTGCTCAGGGTTAAAGTGAGGGGCCCTCAGTGCACTCTGAGCTGATGTTTCATTACCCAAATTTGGCAACACCATCAGTGCACAGTACCCTAGTATGGGTAATGAAATGTCTGCAAGAAAACAACCAAGCTCAGAGAGCACCAAGGATCCCTCATCAACAGTAGTGCTATAACAATTCAGTTCATCGAAAAAAACTATACCTAGAG